AATCCTCATGATGAATGTGATCATTATGTACTATGAACATGAACTAAGAAGAGAAACAGTTCAGTTCTCCCCTAAATTCATGCCTGCGATTTCTGGCAGATCCTGGCCTGCTCGCTTTGCTAACAGGGCCTGGTTCCTCCCGATATCTAATAAAGATCTTCACAGCAAGGGTCACTTTCTTGAGACAACAGAAGCAAAAGCACAGCACACCTGCACTACTGTGAATGGGTTTCCTCAGACTGAGGATCGTAGTATCCAGAGGCGCTCCCTTGTCTGGGGCAGGCCCAGGTGGTCACATTGTCCCCCTGCTCACATGAAGCTGCATCTGGGAAATCAAGCCCACCATCTCCCTAGGACAGCAGAAGGAGAAGTACTGGGCAGGTGACTCTTCTCTGAGGACCTACCTCAGGCCACCCCAGCCTGCCAGCAGGGACAGGTTTCCCATATCTTAGATCTGCTGACCTGAGGCCACACTCCTCATACCAAGGCCCTCTCCTCCCTGACACCAAAAGCTAGGGGTAAAGGTGCATTGGGTCCTCCAAAGGCTGACATCTGGGTGAAAGTCCCCTTCTGTCCTAGCGACAAATGTTCTCTCAGTGTTCCTGTAACTCCTCCCTTTGAGTTCTGCCAAGACATATAAGAGTCTGTGAAAGTGAACCCTTGTTCCTCAGATTCCAGGTGGGAATGCAGGACCGCACTCAGATTGAAAGAATGACCAGGCTGGGTCCCATCTGGCATGTGTCCTGAACCCTCAGCCCTGCCTCATTTAGCATCTTCATTGGGTCAGGACCTTTCCACCCCACTTCCCTGAGGCCTTGCTTCTTCTTCCAAGTCCTTAGGGTTACTCAGACCCTGTTGAAGAAGTCAGGAATTCACTGCCTGAGAAACCTTCATGGGGCTTCCCTGGACTCAGAGCAGGGACAGACTTCTGTGGGTTCCTCTCTTTCTGGAGTGCCAGGCACACTCTGTGAACAAGCCTGTTACCATTCTCACGGCCTGATCCACGGAAGTGGGGAAACCATGCGTCAAGGCACCAGGCCCAGGAATTGCCTGGCCTGATAACAGGAGATGAGATGTCACCTGTGGGGCTCCTGTAGTGCAGTAGGGAGGGAGTCAACTTTCTTTCTATGGTTCTGTCAGTAAGTTGCCAGCAGAGCCTGAATTCCATGTCTTTGCTTACCTGAGTGTACCCCACACTCTAAAGCTCTGTCTTCCAGGTCCCCTGAGCCAAAAATGAGGAGGGGCTCTCGTGTGGTCCAGGTCTGACACTGGAGAGGGGTCCGAGTTGTTCCGAGAACCTCTCTCTGAGCTGGGGCTTCCTCAGGTCCCTCAGGCCCTCATCTGGATAGAGAGCATGTTCGCTCTGCTCTCCTCACCTAGTCGGTGGATCTCAGAATAAGGCTGTCCTCTCTGTCTGACTGCACAGGCTGAAGTCACTGGATGTCATACACAGTACCTTGCAAGGCCTTCATGGGGATGAGAGGAGGTGCTGCAACAGATTGTCTCAGGCCTCTCTCTACTCTCTCAGGCCCTACCTCAGTCTCTACCACAGGCAGAACCCACTTCCTAGACCACCCACAGGGTGTACCCCTTTGGATACAGTGTCTGACACAGGGATGTCTAAGGCAGAAAGATCATCATGGGAGGAGGGAGTGGAAGTGGAGTGCCGAAGCCAGGTGTTCAAAAAAAGTAAAGCACCTAAAATTTAAATCCCAGTCAAGAAATGGGCAAGAGGAATGAACAGACCCTTCACAGAGGAGGAAATACAAATATATGAAAGAACGTTTAACATCACTGGTCATTAGAGGGGTGCAAGTAAAACAGTACTGATATTTCATATGACTTCAGAAGTGATGGCGATCACTAAGGAATTAAACCATAGCAAATGCCTCCATAGCTCTGGGGAAAAAGGAATCGTCCTTCACTGCTGCTGGTAATGTACACTAGTGCAAGCATTGTGGAAATCATCATGGAGGTTTCTCAAATAAATGAAATTAGAAATTCCATATAACCCAGCTAATCCTACTGGTAGTTATTTTCCCCAAAGAGCCTAAGACATTAAACTGCAGTGATACACGCACACCAGTGCTTACAGCAGCACAATTTGTAATAGCTAAGTACTGGAAGTAGCCTGCATACCCATTAACAGATGACTGGATAAAGGAAATGTGCTATCTATGTATAATGGAATACTTATCAGCTATGAAGGATGAAAAATCTGAGACATTTTTAGAAAAATGAATGTACCTGTAAATATAATGTGGAGTGAAATAAAGCAGGCACACAAGTCTGAATACCATGTGGTATCACTCATTTAAGGGAGGTAAAGTAAAAACTAAAAGAGTACTAAATGACGGATAGAAGAAAGAAAAGGGGATGGATCTCCTGCAATAGAGAAGTGGACCAAGAGAACAGAGGTGTGGCATGAGGGGGACAAGGAAGGGAAATAACTAGAATAAAGATATTCCATGTACAGGAATGTAAAAGCATCAGTGAAAATAAACACTATATGCCATAATATGAGCTGAGATTAATAAAATCATCCAGAATGAAAATATGGATAGAGAACCTAGAATAGTAGGAGGGAGGAGGGAAGGAGCAGAAAGGAATTTAAAAAAAGAAACCAGCTGTACTGTCCATTAGTGACCCCCAAGATGATTGGAAATGTCATGTAATGCAAATATGTACTATTTTTTAAATATTTAAAAGGACTTAATAAAATGGAGAACTCACAAGAATTGTAGATATTCCTAGATATATATAAACACTCAAGCTGAAAAAAGAAGATGTAAAATTCCAAATATATCAATATCAGTCCATGAAATTAAATAATTTACATGAAAAACCGCCAACTAAGAAAGGTCGATGGCCCATGGGATTCACAGCCCAATTTTACAAGAATTTCAAAGAAGCTCTAATGCCAAATACTCCTCAAACCCCTTAACGAAACTGAATGGGAATCAGGATTCCCAAAGTCATTCTTGGAAGCAATCATTACCCTGATCCCAAAACCAGAAAAGAATGTAGTCAAAGAAGAGAATTAGAGTCCAGAATTACAATAACTTTAATGAAAATGGGTGCACAGTCATGAGTAAGATATTGGCAAACACAATGCAACAAATCATCAAAAAGATCATACAACGTGATGAAGTGGGATTCCCTCCAGGGACGCAGGGATGGTACACCAGGCACAAATCAAAAATTAAATAGGTCCCGGAAAGAAAATCAAGGACAACAATAAGTGATCATATATATTGACACAGGCAAGCATTTGACAAAATCTAACATCCACTCATGATTAAATCTCCTGTCTTCATAACATCTACCTCCTTCAGAAAGGAAATAATGGAAAACTGGCCCAGATCTCGTCCTGGGGTTACACAGGGGAAGAAGCTTGTGAACAATGAGAAAGGGCTCTGGAAGGAGGGGCACTTGGCCAGCAGTCATTTGATCACTTGGGTAACTGGCTAAAGCAACTGGCCGGATCCTCCTGTCCTTCTTGTAAGAGTGTATGAGGCAAACTGGACTCATGAGGGGAAGCTGTCCAAGAAAAGCCAGTCAGCCTGGCACTGCAAGACTGTGGCAAATGGACACTCCCAGCGGACAGGAGAGCACCTGTTCGAAGACATAATGGCCTCACTTGACATGAAGGTCATCCTTATGTCGCAAGAAACCTTTGAAGATGTTGAGCATAAGTCTGCTGGTTCCTTCCGTGTGTAGGACCACTCTTTTCATCAAGGGATTCCTCTCAGCTTCACCCAACATCTAAAAGCACTGCCCAGAGCAGTCCTCCATGCTCTCAGGCTGTCCTCTCAGGCCCAAGACTCCTCATCTGAGGGCCTGGCTCGGCCACCTTGCAGCTGCATTAGATCAACTCCCGCAAAAAACACTGCAGTTACCCCAAGCCCCAAACTTCTGTGGCTCAGCACACACCTGCGGCTGCTCTCTGCCACTCTCATAGAGCTCTTTTTCATGCCTTTAATTTCTTGAGGACGTCGCTCTGTTTTGCAGACATTTGTGATATTCTTGGTCTCCACATTCTTATGGGGTAGACTTGATTCTGCTCCATGTAGTGTTCTCATATCTCCACCACAGATACAAAGCCTCCCAAAGGCAAGTGTGCAACAAAAGTTTAGAGGTGCATGTGCCCATGAGCAGATGGCAGTAATTTCCCCTAATAGGATAAAGAAGCAATCATATGCAGCTATATATATATATATTTTGATATTATAGATCAGCAGCAGAAAGGAATAAGAAGCTAAGGGTTGTTTTTCAGTCTTATCTTTATTTCTGTACTCCATCTCAGTTGATTGAAACTTTTTCCACATTACAAGGGATTTCCTATTCAAATCCTTTCTTATCACAATTAGAATGAAAAGTTCGCAGTTTGCTTCACAAAAAGGAAAGATTCTCATATTGGAATGGAAAAGCAAAATCCATTTGTGATCAGTGTCACACAAAATCACATTTACTTTAGAAATCATAATCAGATATCTTCATCCCCAAACTAAAATTACATTTAACATGAGCACCGTTCCAAAAATAAGATGTGCAATCTACTTCAATCTTGCAAAAAAGGAACAAATTTTCAAGAAGTCCAAAGAAAGCAAGTGCTAGTTTCCAAGTAACCCAAATAAAACAGACGCCAAGGTGGCACACACGGTATTTGCATAGTCCTCCTGTAGCCCTTCACAGCTTAGAAAACTGCCTCGCCTCCTAAAGCACAGACCGAAGAATCCGCCTCATTTCACATGGAGTGCGAGCTAATCTACTGATGTAGTTTTGGAAAACTCCAGGACCATGGAGACCAGCTTCCCAGTTCAGGGGCCCTGACCCTATCTTGTTCCTCTCTCCAAGCCTCATCATACAGAATTGGGTAAGACTTGGGATCTCTCCTATGAAGCCTGGCCAAATGCTCTAGGAGTTTCATCTTGCTGGTTTCAGCATGGGCCCTTGGACCCCACAGGAACTCATAGCGATCAGGATAACTATTAGGAATCTGCTGGTATTCCAGGTACCGTTCCCGTACCAAATCCACAGTGATGAATTTCCAGGGCTCCCCAATTGCAATATTATCCCTCTGAGCTAAGATCTTCCTCATTCTCAGTACTTCTGCTATCTCCTCCTCACTGGCAGTGTTGCCTTTGATGAAGATGACCGTCAGGATGACTATCAGGACACTGATTTGAAGAAAGCTCTCAGAATCATCATTCAGTAATCCCTTATAAGTGAGGCCCAATAAGGGCACAAGCTCATATGCATGACCAGGGGCATCCACTTCCTTCACATCAATGCCAAAGCCCGCACACATGCACTCACAGAAGTCCCTGAAGATCACAGGGAAATGCTCACGGTAATCACGGTCCACGATGTGCAGCATTTCTTCCATGGTGACCTGCTCCTTCTTTTGGTACTTGCGGAGCAGGAATGGCACCAGTTTATATAACCTGTCATTTAGAAACATGTGGCGCAGCGTCTGAGGCCAGATCATTTCCTCTGAGGGGTTTTGATCCTCCATGTCTTGTCTTGAGCCCTTCCTGTGTTGACTCCCTTGACTGGACCCCATGGCGGTTGGGGGAGAGAACATGCCCCAAGGATTCTGAGGAGGACTTGGTGTTGCAAGCCACAACCCTTCACTCGGTGTGGCCCCAACTGCACTATAGGGGGAATAAGATGCACAGGGAGCAGGGACTGCTGCTTCCTGTACACCATGCATGGGACCTTCTGCACCCGTGAGGACCTGTGTATTTCTTAGGGTATGATGGCCTCCCCCTCGCGTGTTATGTTCCCTCCATTGACCATGGGGCATCATGATGTTCTGCGCAGAGAGCAAGAGCTTTTTGTCAAAGACTCAGACACCTGGAGGAGAGAGGGAGACTATTAGTGTCCTCAGCTGAGAACCACACACTCTTTGCCCCCCACAAGGGACCATTAGAGGTCTTCTCTTTGGCGGGTGCTCTAGACATCACAACCTCTTGTCCCCATGATTCTGGGATATGGAATGAGGCTCCTTGGCAGGGTGCTGTTGAACTCATAACACAAGGCTCTAAGGAAGATGTTGGCGCATATGAGCCCTTGGGATTATGAAGTGTCCTGCTCTGGAATAGGGAAACCCTTAGGTCCACATCAGGGCATGCACCTCACCTTGACTCCTGAGCCTGCCTGGGCCTGCTCTACTGATTGAGCTGAGGATGCTGCTCCACAACAAGACCTTCACTCCTGGTTGCCTGAGCTCCTGTAAGAGGCGTGGAGGCCCGAGGGCTGCACAGCTCAAGCACAGTCCTGCTGTCTCAGCCCTCACAGGACGGGTGGGCTGTCTTCAGAGCTCCACACTTCTCCAGGTGAATGGTCAACTCTATGCTCACTTAAGACCCTGACAAACTCAGAAAAAGTGTCTTGCTCTTCAGAGGTAACAAAGGACACCCGGGGAACACAGCTGGCCATAGCTGCCTGGGGCAACAGGTGGCATGGAAAACTTCAGTGGTGTGTATGTGTCCTGGGAAACAGAACCTGCTCCATCTTTACCTCAGTGAGTGGTTAGGTGTACGAGTCTCCCTGCAATGACTTGGAGCCACCTTCTTGAAAAATCAGCCTTAATTCGGACACACTGAAAGAGGAAGTGAGGGAATGGGAGTACAGCTGTGTTCCCCAGGTGTGACTACAAGGGACCAAAGGGACAGGCCGAGGCTAGGACACTGTGTTCAGGTAACTGTGTTCCCTATGCCTCATCTAGGCCCTTGATCGACCCTGGGATCATACTTCTGCGATCCCTATTCTAGTCCACTTGTACTCAGGATATCACCTCAGTGCGACCAGTCATACAGACTGAAGAGAGCAGATTCAGTCTGACCCCCCTGTGCAGGCTGCCTGGGATGACAGCAAGCACAGGTCCATTGTCAGAAGATGGCACAACTGTCTGTGTTCAGGTCAGGCGTACACTAACTCCTCTCTTATGATCCTCAACTTGACTCTTAGTGGATAGGGCAACTGTGTGTCTCCTGACCAGGTGGGGCTCCCTGTGCCAGCCTGAAGACACACTGCAGGTAGGGCCCTTCACCTCCCTGACATCTCCAGGATTCTAAAAAGAAGTGAGCAGGTGCCCATTGTGTCGCCCTGACATGGGAACAAAAGTGCTGATGGAAAGGTCTGTGCCCATCTCTCCTGTGATGCCAGCCTCTGCTGTGGTTTAAGTCCGGATTTCCTCCAAGGCCCATGGGATCACAGGCAAGACCTCCAGGAGGTGACTGCAGCATGGCGGGGGCTTACAGCTGCCCTGCTCTTAGCTGGGGGGCCTGGTAGGAAGAGGAGGGTCACTATCAGGTGACAGGGCAGGGTCCACCTTCCTTCCGACTGCACCCTTCATTCCCTGCTTCCTGAGGGACACATAGTGAGTAGCTTTCCTCCCACCAATATCTTCCACTCTGCTGTTCTGCCTTAGATCTGGATAACCACAGTCTGAAACCTCTGGAAACTGAGCCCAAAGCAACTTTTCTTACACTGAACTGCAGATGTCAGCTTCTGTGTCTCACCAACAAGAACATAAGTAAGGTTTCCCCTGTGTGCTTCTGTAGCTTCTCAACTTTCCTCCTGTCTGTGCCTGCATGTGAGAGGAGCTGATCTCCCACAGTTCTCATCTGGAAAACTCCTCTCTGCCCCCTGGTAGAAGTGAGCATGCCATTAGTGCCTCCCAGGGCTGACCTGGAGAACAGGAAGACTCTCAGGGATCTGTTGTTTCTGGGCTGAAGACATCCTCCATCATCAGGAGGGACCCATAAATTGGACCTCTCAACTCCTGGGGTCCTCCATTTACTAACCATATGTAGCTCCCTCTACTGACTGTGGTCCCCTTTGGAACCAGGCCACAACTTCATAGGTTCTTCCACGTGTAACCACTTAGAAGAATTTTCAGCAGTTTATATACATCCACCCTCACCGGGGACTCCTGACTGATAACAGGGGAAGCCAGGCTCTGTGGGGTCCTTTTGTTCATGGCTGTGGGTTACCTTCAAGCCTTCAGTGCTGGAAAATAGCAGAGTGATGACCGCTAACAATTCAGTGGCTCCAAGATTTGAAACTGACACTCTGGAAAATCACACCTGGGGGAGAGGAAAAAATAAAAAAGAGAGAAGTAGATCACCCAGCATGAAGAAAAACTGACTCAAATCTTGCAAAATATAGAGAATTCTTTCAAGAAATTAAGGGGGCATATGTATGAAAGAAAGATTTAAATTATGGTTATTTGCAGATAACATGATCCTCTCCATAAAATACCTCCAAAACTCCTATAATTAATAATCAAATTTGGGCCAGGCGTGGTGGCACACACCTGCAATCCCAGTACTCAGGAGGCTGAGGCAGGAGGATTGTTGCAAGTTCAAGACCAGCCTGGGCTACAAAGTGAGCTCAAGGCCAACCTGAACTGCATAGAGAGACCCGGTCTCAAAAAGACAAAAATAAATAAATAAATAGTCAAATTTGGTGGTGTAGAAGTTTACAAAGGCAACACAAAAATATCAGTAGAGTCCCTTTACATCAGTAAAAAACACAAAGAGAAAGACCTGAAGGAAATACTTCTCACAGTAACACTGAGAAAAATGAGATACTCAGGAATTCGCCTAACCAAGGAAGGGAAGCACCTCGACTGTGAAAATTACAGTAGATTGAAGAAGATATTAGGAAATGGGCAGCTTTCCTCTGTTGGCAGAACCAACAGAACCAAAATGGCCATACTTCCAAGACTGTTATGCAGATTTAACACAATCACAATCAAATGGCTACTTAAAAGGAATCAGTTCATAGTAAGTGCTAAGTAGCCTGTGGGGAAAGATGGGCACTTCTTCATTGTTTGTGGGAATACAAACTGGAAATATTATGATGGAAATCAACATGGGAATTACTTAGTAAGCTAATGCTAAAATGTACATTCAACTCACATATTCAACTTCTAGGTATCTCCCTGTGAAAATTGAGGACATTACATCACTGTGCTACATGAATTCCCATGTGTAGAGCAGCACAATTCGAAGTGGCCAAATCTTGGAAGAGGACTGTACGTCCACTGAGAGATGCGTGGATAGAACAATGTGGTATTTACGCACAATGTGGTACTACTCTGCCACGGAGAAGGATAAACTTGAGTCATTCATAGGAAAACAGATGCACCAAGATACCACAATGTTAAATGAACTAATCAGCCACACAAATTTATACATCACATGGCTTTTCTTATATTAGAAACCCAAAATATAAATAAACAGCAAAATAAAAATTGAGTAATTTAAAAGAGTGAGTTCTTTAGCATACTGGGAGGGAACCAAGGGATGGAAAGAGAGAGGCAAAGAGTGGAAGAAGGAGCATCAGATAAAAAAGGGGAACAGGAAGTCTGCACCTACACCAAGTCCCTGTGAGCAACGTGATCAGTATGTCATGGTCTGTATCCCAAGAGATGCAAGGCTGGGGAGGGAAGAGAGGGAAGGGAGATTTTAAAAAGAAAGAACATGTGCCATGTACACGTATCAGTTCCCACAATGATTATAATCATTACGTATTGCACACATGTACCAATAAGAGGAAAGAAACTTCAGTGCTCACCCCGGTTCCTCTCCTTGATTCCCCCCAGATCCAGGCCTGCTTCCTTTGCCAACAGGACGTGGCTCCTCCTGATACCTGATGAAGATCCTCACATCAAGGGCCACCTCCCTTATCTCAAGAAGAAAAAAGCACAGCACACCTGCACAGCTCTGTATGGGTTTCCCCAGACTGACAGAGGAGTAGAATCCAGAGGCCCTCCCTTGTCTGGTGCAGGCCCAGGTGTTCACATTTCCCTGCTGCCGACCTCCAATTGCATCTGGCAAATCAAGGCCACCACCTCGCTAGACACAGCAGAGGCGGATATACTGTGTGGTGACTCTTCTCCGAGGTCCTGCCTGAGGTCACCTCAGCCTGCCAGCAGGGCCAGGCTTCCCATGTCTTGGATCTGTTGACCAGAGGCCACACTGCTCAGACCAAGGCCCTCTGCTCTCTGCCACCAAGACCAAGGTCAAAGATGCACTGCATATGCCAGGGGCTCACGTCTGTTGGGAGGTCACCCTCTGGTCTAGAGTGTAATTTCCCCTCATTAATCCTCCCTGTATTCCTGCCCTAGAGTCCAGAAACAGGCTCACCTTTCTGTGACCTGCAGCCTCTCCCCCAGATTCCAGGTGGGAATGCAGGGCAGCACTCAGACTGAAAGAATGGGCAGGCTGGGTCCCATCTGTCATGTGTCCTGGGCCCTGCATTCCTGCCTCCTTTCTCATCTTGCCTTGGCCCGGGCCTGTTTCCCCCATTTCCCTGAGGCCTTGCTTACTCTTCAGAGACCCTGGGACCTCTCAGACCCTGTTGAAGAAATCAGGAATCCCTTGCCTGACAACACTGTGTGGGACTTCTCTGGATTCAGCAGGGGCAGACTTCTGTGGGTTCCTCTCTTTGCTGGAGTGCTAAGCACCCACTGTGCCCAAGCCTGTTACCGCTCTCAGGGCCTCGCCCATGGAAGTGGAGCAAACTCAGATCCACGCATCATGCCCAGGG